TTTTTTTCTGGCATGAAATGAGAAACGGGTCGTTTCACTTTCCATCCCGTTGAAATCATCGGGCCTGGAAACAAACACAGTTTTTTGGACGAAGCTGAGACTCGACCATGGCTCCTGCTCAGAGGCTTCACGTCAACCCGCGGTCAACACGCACTCTCTGCGGTGCGCGGCTCAGCCGGAGCTTGCGGGGCTCTGCGGCAGGTGACACCGATATGCGGGGCCGATACTGACTCTGATTTAAAGGACACGGTGAACCTGTCACTGCATTATCTGCTGTAGTGGAAATGATAAGTGTCTCTCTCTGTGACACTTCCTGCGACTTTTATTCAATAATATCGTCATGATCATTTAGTGTTATACTCTCTTTAGTGATAATTTGCACTTTTGATTAACGAGGCTTATTTATAAATTAGTGTCGATTTATGTTTTATTCCATCCACAGAGACAGAACTCCAGAAGTTCCCTGGGTGGTCAGCCCGCTAACTCTAAACACTGGGATTCAAGGAAGAGTCTGATGATAGTCCAAATATTCTCTGACATGCTCTCCGCTCTTTTAACAGGTCAGCTCAAGAGGAAACCTTCAATACTTGTGAATTCAAAAAAGGTAAAAATTCAATTATATGGACTGTTTCATTCAATCTGCAGCTCTGTTCCAAAAAAAACATCAGTAATCAGCCGTCACTGACCCTTATTGGTCAAACCCTCATCCCACTCTCTGTAATGTGCTGTACAGGACATATGCACGTATAGTCCTCTGGTATTCAAGCCAAGACATTGTCCTAAACAGAGACTCTTCATCACTTGGGGGAGTCAGCAGTCGGGGAGGGCTCCCTCTGGCCCTCCAGGCCGCTCACCAGTCTCTGGATACTTTGCAGTTCATTCACTGAGTCCTTCATGGAGGTTTTGGAGGATGCGTCCCTTCCACTTGACCCTCCTGTCTTGTGGTTGCTGTGGTGCTCCGGGGCTGGGCTGGCCTCTCTGCTGCCCGGTTTGGAGGATTCAGAGCCTGGGTTGAGGCCGCTGGGCAGGCCGGTGGTGAGCAGACTGGAGCTCTGAGGCAGCGACACCGGTAGCTGGTAAGGGTTGAAGCGGAGCCTGGGCCGGGACGAGCCCAGGAAGGGATTCCGGGAGAGTGGGCTGGAGGTGCTGGTGGTGGGGAGGGCAGAGGCGGACGCTGCTGCTGCAGCAGCTGCCATGTAGGTGTAAGGGTACGGGAAAAGACCCCCGAACGGAGGCATCGGGATGCCCTGCAAAAACAAAGGGGAAAGATGTGAGTCAGAATTGTACACATCATTATTTCCACTTGACTTGTCGAGTAATCAAATTAGTAACATCCAATACATCCCAACACACGACAGATTGTTCCCTCACATTATTCAGTTCAGATCTTTGTGGAAACAAAAGTCAGATCTGTGACGAAAGCAACAAATGTTTGAGCTTTAAATTAGTTTTAGTCTTTTCACAGACGCCTGATAAAATGTGAAGACGGTTTATTTGGCGAGTACCTTTTATTACAGCCTCGTGTTTCATACAAATACACGTTAGCAGGCAGCAAAAACATGAAGTATTTATACTTTAATTCTCAAACAGCAAATTAAACACACCTCTGATTCAAGAGAGTATTTCTGATGCTGTTCTGTGCAGGCTGATATACACAGGTTTGTTTTTTAAGAAGTGACATCTAATCCTGTGTAAACTCCGACAAGCGCTCAGTGCTACAGGTGTACGAGCAAACCGAATCATTTTCTGACTGGATGACCTTCCTTACCTGTGAGGCGAGCATGTGCTGGGACAGATGGAAGGGGAAGGGGTTGGGGGTTCCTCCCGTGCCCTGGGCGGAGAGGCTGCCATTTTCCAAACCACTTACTCCCGATACAGAGGCCAAAAGATGCCCCATTCCCATAGCAGAAAAGGCTCCAGGGGCCATGGCAAACTGCCCGGGGTGAAACAACAGCGGTGATCCGGTGTTCAGAGGGTTAAAGAACTGCTGACTGTGCAGGCCAGACAGAGCCAGGCTTTGTAAGTGGCCTGGGCTGAAGTGCGAGGGGCTCTCAGTCTGGACCATGAGAGGAGAGAACGTGTCCTTACTGGCACCAATGCCTCCTGACTCTGAGTCCTTTGTCAGTGCATCTGTGGTGTCCTTCCTGTGCCTGCTCTCTGCTTTGTCCTTCTCAAGGTTCCTTATATTGAATACGGAGTCGTCCTTCTTTTCTGCACTGGGCCTGTCCCGCACGCGGTCCTCACACCTGGAGCTGTAGGGGGACACGGGTTCAGGACCTGGACTGTTGGAGGCGGTGCAGTGGTCGTCATGATGCTCCAGCTCCTGCTCGCTGTCAGAGCACGTTTTGTCATCTGCAAGAAGTACAAGAACTACGTTGAAGTATTTTTCCCCTCATCACTAGTAATCTACACACACACACACACACACACACACACA